TTATATCATATTAGTTTAAACTGGTGTCCAACAATATTATCGTTTATCGCGATAATTTCTGAGAATTTATCGTCCAGCAAAATTTGTTATCGTGACAGGCCTACGCCTACTGCTTTCAATGCCAAAGTTTCACACTAAGATTATTTTATGTTGAATAAACAATTTGCACAATCTCACAGTCAGAGGATGTGTTGTGTTGTGTTGTTCAGCCACTATCAAACTAAACTTTAAAATATTATTTATAAACCTGATTAGATTAGAGCAACTTTGTGTCMATCTCCAAAAGTTAAATCAAGTGTAGATGTACATCAAACAGAAATAAACACTGTGTCTGAAGCTTCATCACAAAGTGTAGTAAACTAGCTCAGTACCTTAGACGACTGCGGGTTGTGGGGGTGATGGAGGCAGTGGGGGAGGAGGAGGATAAGGACAGTGGAGAGGAAGCTGCACTCATGGCCATCAGGGAGGTTGAGGAGGCTCCGTCTGAAGCAGACATGTCCCTCTTGATGTCCTCGCTGCTTCTGCGTGACACTGCTGATGACAGACGAGTCGGTTACAGACTCTGCTTTGTTTTTAAACTAACTGGACTACAACACATTTAAACTGAGTGTCAGATCATTGCAGACCTGAAATCGCCTTAGTGGAGTCAATGTTGGAGACCCTCTGGAGGGCAGGAGGGGGTCGGCTGGTTGAGGTTCCCCTGAGGAGGTGCTCGGCTGAGGGTAAAGCATATTTCATTAGAGTGCGAGACGTTTTATGACGGATTTCCGCTGAAAAACGAATGTAACAGAGGTCAGTAATGAGCCACATTCCAGCCCTGTGAGTTCAGGGAATACCAACACAGAAGGCTGATTCACACACCAAGAAAACAATAAATTAYAGAAAAGTAAACAACGGTGCAGGCTATGGCCAAGACTGCACATTCACATAAAACACTTGAACTCATTATAGTTGAAAATAAACTAAGGGAAMTGCAGCCTCCTTATTTGACTATTTTTTGTTCTCTAAACAATCAAGAAGTATGCAAACTCCCAACTCCGGCCTTTGGAAGAACAGTCCCTTTATGACATGAGACAGGAAGCCATCCATTCAATTTATTTTTATGACACAGACTCAGCAGGAGACAAAGAGTTATGAAAGATCTTGTATGTGTTCAGATTTAGACATCAAAGTATTTAACACTTTTACAGACAGATATTTACATACACTGTGGAAAAGGGCACAACCATTTCCTCCTCACTCTGACTCAAACTAAGCTTTTTCTGCTTTAGATTGGTTACAATTTCCAAATTATTATTTTTGTTAAAAGCCCAAATAACAAGAGAGAGAATATYTACATTACTTTCTTTAAAGTCACATGTTTACTCACTGTACATTCTGACTTGGGTGAAACATTTCAGGTTTTTGTTCCACAACTCTTTACTGAATACTGGCCCACTCCTCTCAACACACCAGGGGCCTCATGTATCAACGGTGCGTACGCACAAAAACCTTACGTACGTCATTTTCCACGCAAAACTCTGGATG